TAGCTGATCTCCAGATCTGGATCAGTAAGTGGCATCTATCAACTATATATATATCTGGACAGAAACTAATTAAAGCAGCTAAAATAAGAAAAATATATTTGCATTTCATACGAAACTAAACAAATTCAAAGCAAGATACACCGGGAATTTAACAGCATTGAATACAGACCAAATCAAAATTAATTTTCCCAAAAAATTAAAAAATAAAAACTACACAGAAGCAAATAAAAAGCAATGTTAAAGCTATGAAATGCTGATTAAAATAAATGATCCAACGAACAAGATAAGCATACCCCACTAGCAATCACCACTCCAGTAACAACAGGCACAAGAGCAGCATAGGTGACCCAAGCCTCCCTCTTAAGGGTCGCCAAATACGCAAAAAGGGCAGTGAAAAACGGTGTCGTTGCACCGACAGCCTGATTAAACGACACCGCAAGGTATCTGAGTGAAATATTGCCACCCACAACAGACCCACAAAAGACAATGCTCAAAGTTGCAATCTTGACGAACTGGGACTTAGATTTGAGGGTCTGCAAAGGCACAATCTTGAGGAAAACAATGGAGATGTAGCTGAGAATGGCGCAGGCAGCCATGTGGCACATTGTGAGGAAGATTGGGAATCTGAAGCCATAGTTTGAGAGCAAGAACTTGTTGAGTAGAAGAACACCAATGTTTGATGAGTACCAGAGGATTACGAGGGAAGATATGAAAATGGCTTGTTTCTTTGACGACATTTTCAAAGGTTTTGGTGAAAAGATTGTTGCTTGGATTTGTTTTCTCCTTGAACCAGGTGCTTGGATTTGTTTGGAGAAGCTCTCATCTGAGCTTCGATCTTCAATGGAAAATAATTATGTCCTCTTTTTGGTCTCTCGGTTTGTTTTTCTTTTTTGCTTTTTTGATACGTAGGTACGGAGCATTTGCTGAGATGTGTGTACGACGCGTGTGGAAAGGAACATGCCATCGTGGCATGAAAGAAACGTTTGTTTTTTTTTGTCTGAG